ACTCATCTACGCTGTAACGAGCTAAGTGACTGAACAAAACTGATACAATTTAGTGCTTTCGTGTCGAATCAGTAATTTAGTCCGAGGAGCACAACAGTTTACAAAACCAGGAGTACAGGACTTTAAGAGAATCTTGCTTGTCACCGACTGAAGTAACGGTGTAAAGTTAATTCTTCATAAATACTGTAGAGTGCATTACCACATGTGGCATGGATATGGCCGATATCTACGGATATTATCACAGAGATGCTTAAGAAGCCATGTGTATCTTGAGCAAAGCTATGCACGATATATAAGAATGTGTGGGCACAAGAGCATGACTCATCTAACAGTTGACCCAAATTCGTCACAAGGTATAAGATGTAAATAAAACAATTTTTACAACTTGTGATAATTATTACACTGGATAATCAGTTAACAGATGGTCCAAAGCGAAGTGCGGTCACACGGGGCGTTCGCATGGTACGGCGCGAAAAATATCCTCGTTTGTGCTGTTCCAGTGATTCGCAAGTTAGCCACTTACAATTCGTTTTCCCACCTGGTTGTGTCGAAGCAATGTGAGGTTAATTAACTGCTCAAGGAAATTCGCAGTTAAGACAAACGCAGACCATTCTCCAAAATTTTAAAACGACCTCTTTGCCACCGTGCACTCCAAATATTACAACGTAAAAAGCGTCGACTGCTGGCAAAGTAAAAACATGCCATACCGAAAGACCGCATTTTCTGAAAGAGGAAAAGAAGAATGGCCAGCACTGGATCGTCTCCAAAACACCGAACAAAATACGGACAAAAGGGAAAAAGATATTTCATGTTGACAACGTTCAAATGATCAACCGGCAAACTTGCAACTACTTAATGAGGTTTAGACTTCAAATGCACAAAGCAAAACGAGCATTCACAACTAAAAGTAAAACTTTGGAGGTTCAGCGTACACCAGATGGAAAGTTTTTAACCGTTTGAACGTCGGCATTTTTTATGCTTTAATAATGGGGCCATTTCTGATGCCTTTCTTTTCATGAATTTAACGGCGAGACAATGATCTCCATTTGATTTCCTTAGCCATTAGTGCCTCATTTAAATTTTGAATTTAAATATTTAAGATAGAGTGTACAGCAGTTGTGTGGCAAGCAAACTGTGTAACCCTTTTCTTTCTCACAGAGTGATAGACTTATTTATCAAGTTTAGAAGGAAGACAGGCGTGTCACTGGACCAAGGCTCGAACGTGGAACTTCTCGGATCTGCATCCGACGGCATATGGCCCAAAAACCCTAGTCAAACCATAAGGTTGGGAACCGAACAATCCATTCGTCTGTTTGAAGCTAAAATTTTTTTACACCTGAACGGCGTTCGATTAATTAACGGATTTTATGAGTGATGTTATTTTCTAGTTAATTAACAAATTACGCGCTCAAAATCGGAAATTGTTTAGGAGACTCGGCTTTGTAACTGGATGTTGCTCTTCGCTTCAAACCTACGCAGAACCGTAGGCAAGTTTGGTCAATCGTAGCCGAAACGACCATCGTTCAATCGACTGCC